CCCGGCACAGTGCACTGCTTGCTGTCTAATTAAAATTTCATTAAGTTGGTTGGAATCCCTTGATGGAGGTCACAGGCACACCATTGATGTGCTAATGTCTTACTTTTCCCCTTTTTTCTGTCTTTCACTACTATCCATCATCCTCTTAGATAAAGCAGTGCCATTAGGAACTGCTTTCCAGCATCCCCAGATGCAAGGGCAGCTAAAGAGAGACAGCCATAATTCATCAGACATATTATCTGTCCCTTATTTTCTCTCTAATTAAAAAAATGCCTTCCTCCCCCCCACTTGGATCAGTTTGGGCATTAATCCCTCTGGTGTTCTGTTGAATATGCTGGTGAGCTGGGAATTAGAAAAGTTGCCTGGAAGGCCAGGACTGGCTGAGCTTTGTTTTAGTGGAGGTGGTGCAGCTAAATCTGGGCTGGGGAGAGATATCCCCTGTGCATGCTGTGCTGTGGGCACCAAAATCCACCAAATCCTGCAGCTGAAGGGGAAGAAACGAGGGCTGGAGCCTCCTGTGCACCCCTGTGGCTCAGCCCAAAACATCCCAAGCTCGGCGTTGGGACATCACCCCTGGGGCTCTGCGCTGCTGCCCGCTCCGGGGCCGGGCACAGCGGGCACTTCCCAGCGCCCCTGGGCACGGGTGGCATTTTCTGCGAGCAGCGTGGAGAGGGAAGATCAAACCGGGAGGAGAAAGCGCTCAGATGGCGCCCAAAGGAAGGGAACTGCCGCGGAGGAGAAGCCGAGGATGTGTGGGATCCTCTCCTGGCGGTCGCTCGAATGCCGCCCAGATGGCGAATGTTTGTTTCTGTGCCTCGAGTGGGGAAATAGGAGCGAGCTGCGAGGCTCCACCCGCCCACCCCGGCGGGTTCTGCTCCTGCCGAGCTCCCGGAGCCCTGCCCGGGACAAGGCACGGGAGGCACCGGCACCTGCATCCTCCGGCTGCTGCCAGCATTCCCAAACCCCAAAGCTCAGCTCCCCACTCAGCACCTCCGTCCTGATTTGGTTTTTAACAAGGTTAAAATCTCGGTGTCCGTTTGGTTTTTACCTCTGCAGGTGCAGCACTACTCGGTTTAACCCCAAAAGATTCCCATAAGGAATGTCTGATCACACAGAGCTCTGACGGGAAAGGGTTGCATTTAAAAATGAAAATGGTTGGATTCTTTTTGCCACCACTTCTCTTACAGTTGACTTTACATCTTTACTTTCTCCATTTGGGGTTTCATAGATATTTTCTCTCAACAGATACCCCCAAAAAGCCAGACACACTGTGACCTTCACTTCCTTTTCCTCACTGAGCCTGTGGCTTTATCCCCAGCTATTTAGGGCATTTATTTTCTGCCTCCACTTCCAAAGATGCTGAAGCATCTGAGCAGGGCTGGAACACCCCAGCAGTCTGTAACCTGGCCCTCAGCCTGCTGCTCTGGGTACCACAGACCCCATCCAGGATGGCAGCTGTTGGGGGATGGTCCAATTAATAAATTGCATTAGTAAACTAATGTGCATCATGACCCAGTTCATAGTGATGGCAGGAGCTTTGCTGGCTTGGTTTATCTCTGCTGAACCAAACACCAGGTAGTGTTTCTCAGCACTAAAAACTGGACTGGAGAGTTTATTTTTCCTTCCCCCTCCCTGCTTTAATGCTGGCTTTCAAAGATGAGTTAACTTTTACAAAGTTTTCATTAGGGAAATTAAGGAATTCTTCCCAGGATGGCCATTATGTGACATTTTAATTTTGATTTTTCTGGTGAATGAAACAACATCTTCAGCAGATTTATTGCTAAGTGAATGGCCCAGCCATGGAATGTGTCAGACCTGTAAAACACTAAAAAACAGGCAGGGGATTGTTGTTAATCAGAATTTATTACGCTACATAAAGGCATATTTACAGTCCCACCAGGGGACGATTAATTTGTTTGGGGATAAACAATTAATCTCCCTGGGAGTGGGAGCAGAAAATCTGACACGGTTTTATGTCTTTTCCCAGCATGGCAGAGGCAGGATTGCTCACAGCCTCCCTGGGGGCATCTCCCTGGCACTGCCAGGGGTCAGCAATGCCCAGGGCTGGGCAGCCAGCAGGGTTTGCACTGGGAGCTGTGCTCTTTACTGGGATAAATGGGTTTTTTCCTGCCCTGCCTGAGCCTCCTGCATCCCTGCTGTTCCTCCCCACCCCGTCTATTTTTGGGTTTCAGCCCTTGCATCTGTTTCCTGCATCCTCTCCTTTCTGCTCAAGATGCAACAGGCACAAACAGGGAGGAGAGAAGGAGGTGCTGCACAGTGGGAAGGAGAGAATTGCAGCTGCTATTCTTTGGTACCTTTGCTCCATGGACTTCTTCAAACTTAAGCCTTATTATTTCTCTTTGAAAGCAGCTTTTTGATCTTTGCAGGAGCAACTCCAGTACAGGGCAGGAGCACTTGGGAAATTCCCAGCTGAGGCCATGGGAAGGTTATGACAAAAGCAAAACTTCTGGTTTCCAAGAGCATATGCAGTGTTTTGGCAGGTAATGTCAGCACACAGCCAGCAGAATGTGGGAGCCAGGCAAAGAGCAGTGGTGTGCCCTTTTCTGCTGTCACCTGGTTTTGGGGCAGCTGTGCCCCTGCCACCCCTTTTGTCCCAAGAGCTGCCTGGCAGCTGTTGAGTGGCTCAGCATTCCTGGCCCACAAGGCAGAACCCAAACCTCACCATTTCCCTTCACCTATTGGCCCCATGAATCTTCTCCCATTTATTCCCAACAAGACCTTTGTTCCCTTTACCAGGGCCTGGCTGGATTTGTGGGGTTTTGGCCACCCCTGTGCACATCAGGATGCTCCCAGCCCTGAGACCCCTCAGTCTTGGCAGCTCCCAAACCAGACCAGCTCTTCTGCCAGTTTAACTCACCTGCACCCAGCCTGTTTGTGCCTCCTTCCTGTCACTCTGTCCTGAAAAAGACCTTCACACTTCTCCACAGGGATTAACAGTCGGAGCAGCTCATCACTTGTTTCCAGCAGGAACTATGAGTTTTTAGAGGATTTGAGCCACCACAATTAAGGAGAACCTAGATCATTAAAAATAATATGCTTCACACAAGAGAGGAACCAGCCTGCTTCACAAGACCCCTTTCTGCTGAAAAATTCATTGCTCTAAATAATTAATGGTCCTTGCAAAGGAGGATGGTTTTGCTGGGCGGAAGGTGAAATGCAGACGCCAGGCAGAGTAATCCTTTTTTTTTTTTTTGTTATGAATCCAGATTTCCTGGCCATGCTGCTGCCCTGGGAGCAGTGGGGGAGCAGGGCTGTGGCTGCTTTCCCCATGGGGCCCCAGGCTGGGGAAGTGTCTGTGCAATTGGGTCATCCACCCCATCCCATCCCATCCCATCCCATCCCATCCCATCCCATCCCATCCCATCCCAAATCCCATGGGTCCCTCCTGGTGTAGGGACAGGGCAGGGGGCCCTGCTGGGGGTGTCCCAACCTTGTACCTTAAGCTCTGAAGCAGCTCTTGCCTGTCCAGGTCTCAGTGCCTTGGAAGGCTCTGGAGAGGAGCAGATTTCCCTGCTGGAGCAGCCTCTCCATTTCAGCAGCTTTTGCACTGCTGCTCCTTTTGCATTGCATGTCAGGAATTCATTTATTGCTGGGACAGCATTTGCATTGCTCGGTGCATAAATAGGCTATAAATAAGATGCTGATTTCTAATCACTGCACAGCCCCAGGAGAAGCACTCACACCAGGGTGTCAGGGGGTGCCTGGCCTGTCCCTCTCCACACCAGTGTGTCCCTCCTTGGGGCAGTGGCAGCTGCTGGGACACAGCTGGCAGTGGCAGTGTCACCCAGCAGCAGCCAGTCCAGCTGAGCAGTCAGTAGCAGGGGTAGGTGTAGGGCAGTGGGACAGCACCACTCATGGGAGGGGGTTTTTAGCTGTTGGGACCCCCCATTGGCATCACAGAATAAATCCAATTCCTCTTCCCCTGCTCAGCCTGCCTGTGGTTCCTGCAGAGTAATTTACATTATTATTATAATAATTATATTATTACAAACAGAAGCAGACTGTTTGTGACCTCTTTGGGGAGGGGAGGTAAATGGAAAGCTGTACTGGGGTTGTTTCTGTAACAACCATGGCTGCCCAAAAGCTCAGGTAGAGGGGGGAAGATAAAAAAGGCAAACTGTGCACTGCTAACCAGAATGTCTCACCAGGACAAGAGGGCTGGACAAGGGTGGGAGTGGGACCTGCCCTCCTCAGAGCAGCTCCCACAAAGGTTATAAAAGGCAGGCTTTTCAGGGAGCTGGGAGTGAGAGCTGCTCTGGGAGCTGAGGGGGTGTCACTGCAGGGTGGCTCACCAGAGCCAGCAGCAGTCCCTGGAACGTGCTGGGAAGGGACAGGAGCTGACGTGGCTGGGCCTGAGGCGTCCTCACGCTGTTTGAGCGCTGTCACCAGCTGGGTGCTGCAGGAGGAAGGTCCCCTCTCTGCCCTGGCCATGCCCCTGGCTGGGCTGGCACGTGTCCCTGCTGGAACAGGCCACCCTGCTGCCAGTGCCACCCGCTGTCACCTGCAATGGGGACAGAAAGAGCAGCAGTGCAGTGATTGAACACCTGTACCCAAGGCCGAGCTGTTTTGCCACGAATTAATGCTCTTCCCTGTTTTTAGGCTGCTGGGGGTGGGAGCAGCCTGCCATGTCAGTGAGAGCAGCAGTGGGATCCCCAAAACGCCTGCTCATTGCCAGGCTGCTGGGGCAGGGCTGCCATGGATCCATCTCAGCGCTCAGCAGAGGCACTGACACATCACACACATCTAATGGCACTGGTTTAGGACAATTGTCACTGCAGCCCCAGTGCCAGCGAGCCCTGGGAGCAGGGCACGGCTGCACCTCGGGCTCAGGACCGAGCGGTGAATTGAAGCGACAAAAGGCGGAAGGGAAAAGGTGGGAGAACCACCCATGACAGGGTCCACTCCCCACCTCCAGAGGGGGATTTCTGGGTGGTGTGGCGGTGGGGTGACCTCTCTGACAGCCCCCTGTGTCCTTGCAGACGAGCGCTGTGCTGTGTGCGGGCGGCTGTGCCCTGCTGGCCCTCAGCTCCCTGCTGGCCATCGTCGCTGTCGTGCTGCCCGGCGGAGCCTGCGAGCGCCGAGTCTGCACCCTGGCTGGCTACATGCAGACAGCAGCAGGCAAGTGATGGGGCTTTGCTCTTTGGGGTGGAAAGGTGGGGTGTCCTGTCGTGCCATCTTGGAGCTCAGCAGCATGAGGAGCTTGCAAACCCTAACCAAGGGTGGGAGAAAAGCAAGTGGCCCTTCAGTTCAGTGATTGCGTCCTGCATTCAGCACTAAAGCTATTGAGCATCACCTCCAGCCACACACGGGTCTGGGGCTGCAGATCCCACTCACTGCCCCCAGCAGATCCCAGTCACTGCCCCCAGCTCAGGATGTTGTGCAGGACAGGGAGCTGTGGTGAGTGGTGGAGATCAGGCTTTCTGCTGGCAGGGTGCTGCTGCACCTCCTGGGGTGCAGCAGATGATCCCTGTGAAGTGTCCAGTTCCATCTTTGTGGTTAAGCCTCTGGAATGATTTCCCTCTCTGAGCTTTACACCTGACACAGAGGTTGCCCAGCCTGCCCTGTATCTCCCCAGGCAGCCCTGGTGATGCTGCATCCACTTAAAATTCCTTTGCAATTGCCTGTGCTTCTGCCTCGGGGGAGTGCAGAGGGAGAGGGCAGGAAGCTGGGGAGGGACAAACCCCACTGGAGACTTGTCACCCCTGCAGGGAGCCACGTCCCTGAGCGTTGGACCAAACCTCTCCAGCTGGCCACGAGCCACGACAGGAGATTAATGCCCCTTCGTGTCTGTGCCCGAGAATAAACTCCTTTGCTTGGAGAAATTCTCAGGGCCAGCCAGGCTTTGTTCTCTGCCTGGAAGCATTCAAGCTGCTTTGGGGGGAAATCCTGTTACACGCTCTCCTCTGCAGGGCTCATCCCGTGGGATCTGATTTGGGACAGATGGAGCAGGACAGATTTCAGCCGTGGCTGCTCCAGCTCAGCCAGGCTGTGGGGCCACACACAGCTCCTTGTGCTGTCCCCTTCTCCCAGTCTGGAGATTCCCATCTCTGCTGGCTGGTGGCCAGAGGGTCCCCTGGGTGTGGGACAGAGGCTGGAGGATCCCATGGCAGATCTCAGCTCAGGGATGGGTGCCTTGCAGGTGGTCTCCCCTGCAGGGGATAATTGGGGTGGAAAAGGGTAACCCCACATTACCTCTGCCTGGGGGGTGGCACATCCTTGCTGCATCTGGAGCAGATACAAAGCAAAGGATTAGGAAGAGTCCCTGGAAAGGAAACTGACTGTGGCAGATAAATACAAATGAGGAGCTGCCAGGGGTTCTGGTAATATTGAACAGGCTGTAAATAAACTGTAGGCTCTAAGCGTTATTGACAAATGAAAATTTACTGGGGACGTTTGAGCAAGCTAATGGGTTGCTTTAAACCCTGGCATTGCCTGCTAAGCATTTTGTCTTGTGCTTTTTAATTTTGTGCACTGTGGATTAATTCCCATTCAGAGCCAGGCAGCCCTGAGTCAACAGAATTAAATGGTTTAATGTATTTGGATTCAGAAATGCTGCCCCTCCATAATTTCTCTCCTTGTTTCCCCCTCCCTCCCTAGGAGGAAGCTTTTCAATAGAAATCAGCTGCAGTGAGGTGACAGGGAGAGAAACTCCTCCCCAAAAATCACATTATCTCAGAGAAAAACAGGGATTTTAGGAGAGATGAAATTATAGGGGAGGGAAGGAAAGCAGAGCAAGCTGGAGGTTTGGTAGAGAAGCTTTCTGATGGGGATGGGGGGCAGCTCTGCCAGGGGGTCCCCTTGAGATGCTGGCAGAGCAGTGGGGGTTTGTTTCTCCCAAATCCCAGGTTTCCAGGTCCCAAAGTCACCTTTCCTCTCTCTGAACAGACATTTTCCCACTGAAATCCGAATTTTGCTCTCCTTTTCCCATTTCACAAAGCCAACCTGAGGTATTCTTTTAGAGCACCAAAGGTATGAGTAAATCAGTTCAGTTCTATAAAACACTGAATCAGGAATCCAACATCCTGATAAAGAGCCAGGTGCATTCAGCCAGGAGCATGGAACATGCCAGAAATGCAGGAGCAGAGGTACCAGCAGAGCCAGAATCAGCCCCCACAGGCTCTGCACTGTCTCAGAAGGATGCCCTGAGCTGCACTCACATAAATCCAGGTGCAGAGGCCAAGGATTGATCCCTGAACCAAACAGGAACCAATCCTGAGAGCAGCCCCACAGCAAGGGCAGCCAGGCTCAAGCTGCAGCTTTAACACTTTCCTGCTGTACATTTGGAGAGTCAAGTTGTGCCTTTTGCAGCCCAGAAGGGAGGAAGATAAAAACCTCAGGCAGACAGAGCAGAGCTCTAATTGCAGATGCAGACAGGCCACCAGGGTTCAGAGCTGGGCTAATTGCCACCATACTTTGAAAACAGGAGTCCTGATGCCTGGCATCCACTCCTCAGGAAAAAACCCAACACCCCAACACAAAAGACAAGACGATGATCCCTAATGAAAGAGTTAATGAGCAACAGGGAGAGGAGGAAGGATAAAGGAACATTTGCTCAGCTCTCACACCCGATAAAGTCAAAGCTGCCTCTGAGATTAGAGATGAGGCTCACTCCCTGTTCACGGTGTCAGCTCACTAAAATGAAATTTCTGGGGGATCCTTCCTCCCAAACCTGCATGGCAGCACCTCCAAAGAGGCTGAGGTAGCCAAGCTGGCCCATTTATGTGTGGGGTGCCCCAATCCTCAGCTGCAACCCACTGCTGTTGCTGGAGAAGACTCTGACCCCAGGGACAGGGAGGGCAAATGGGGGCACAGCTGAAACCCTGCCAGTTGTCCTTCAGCAAAAGCCTCTTTGCTGGGGTTTTAAAAACAGGAGTTAATTCCAGGAAGAAATGTCTCCTGCTACATGGGGCTGAAAGGGAAGCACAGGAAATGCTCTCCAGGGCTGATTGTAGCTGTACAACCTCTCTGGGGGCTGCCAGGTGCTGCTCAGGGGCTCTGGTTCATTGCATTCATCCCTGCAAGGTCTCAGAGCAGTTTTTCAGTGTCTGGCAGTGGGGGAGCTGCTGGAAGGAGCACGGGGCTATCACAGTGTGTCAGGCAGTGCTTTCACCCACGGGATCTGTGGGTGATGCCCTGGGGAGCCCCAGGCTCTGCTCTGAGCTGTCCCAACCCACACAGCCCCCAGCAGTGGCACTGCCCCACAGGACAGCCTGAGCCTGGGGCAGCTGAGAGCCAGAGCAGCCTCTGGCAGGATTCCAGCAGGGACTGTGCTCCACAGCCCAGAGCATCCCCGTGGGAATGGCCTTCCCAGGGCAGTGAGGCTGATGAAAACTGAGATTGCCACTCAGTAAACCCCATCAAACAGAAAATCTGGGCACATTTCTGATCTGGGCGCTCGTGGTACTAAGGAAGGACTATGGGTGACCACGCTCCAGCACTGAGCTGGTTCCATCTGCTGCTTAGGAATGAGTCCTCACAGGCAGGGTGAGCAGCCTCCCTCATCCCTAAAAGTCTCAATAAAGTCAAGATTGTGTTGATTTTGGGAAGCTTTTCCCTGTGTGCTGTTCAGGGAAAGGGTTCTTGCTTTGCTGGCAAGGGGTGGCTGATCCAACCTGCCTGTGGCCCATGGCTGCTGATCCTTCTCCTGGTCTGGGGCCTGGCAGGAGGAGGCTGCAGAGCTTGGAACTTCACTCAAGGCACAGAGCACAAAAAGCCTCCAGGGAAAGTTTTGCTTTCACCCCACACTGCTCTCTGTCCAATCCTACCACCATCAACTCCCTGCTCAAGACAAACCCAGTGCTGAGGGAAATGATCCTGACCTGCCTGTGCCTTTCTAAGGTTCCTCTGGTTTTAAAGAGCAATTTCCCAGCATCGCCATGACAGAATCAGAACAGTCACAAGGCTCTAGCAAGACAGGCAGAAACCCCCAGTTATGCAATTTAGCCACACTGTAATCCCAGGTTTCATGGTAGTCCCAAGAGCTTCTTCCTGGAAAATCTGATTGCATTCTGCAGCCAAGATCCCTCTTACTGGCAGCAGCATGGTGGCATTACAGACATGGCTTCAGCTTTTGGTCAGTTAAGCAGCAGAGCAAAATACAGGAGACCTTGTGATTTTTGTCTGTTCTTTAGACACTGATCATCCAGTAAGAACACAGAAAGAGGGAGAAATGTTCACTTTCAGATCAGTGTGAACCTTCTAAATGTATCAATTCCCAAGGACTAAAAACCAACCTAGATTAAAATGTCTTGTGCCATTCCCAAGGGAGAGCAGCAGGATGGGTGGGATGTTTGGGGCAGCCTGGGGGCAGCAGGGCCACAGCAGCCCCTGGCCAGGACACTGTCCCAGTGTCACAAATGTTATTTAGGAAGGCAGCTCATCATCCTTCCCCTTCACTGCACCTCCCATCCCTCCCTGCATCCCAGCCCACCTCTGGGATCGATGGTGCCCTGTTTGTCCCAGCCTGTGCAGGCTCTGCATGGCAAACAGCACCATCATCTGCATCAGTATTGATCCCTCAGGCTCCCATCGATCAGCCTGGTGACATACAGGTAATGTGTAATTAGTAACTTAGATAAAAGCAGCACCAGGAGGGAGCTGCCAGGCTGGTGTGCCCAGGGAGCAGCAAACAGAGGGGTCGTGGCTGCCTGCTCATTGCTCACCTGCCTTTGAGTCACTGAAACTCTTCCCTGAGGTTTTGGGTCCCTCCCATCCTGCTCCTCTCCCAGAATCCCGACTGGAATACAGGCACGAGGAAGGCACTCTCCCTTCCCAATGCACTTGTGGGGATGCTGGAGAGCAGCATCCAAGGATGGTGCAGAGGCCACCGGGCAGCGGGGACACGCTCTGCTCCTGGTTCAGTGTCCCAGCACCGCTCTGGGGGGGACACAACTGGAGCAGGCACCTCCCCAAGGCAGGGGGAATTTGGGGCTGGGAGCGGACACTGAAAACGTTCGGGAAGGGCCAGGAGAGGAGGCTCGGAGCGCTGCCAGCCCCGCAGCCGGCGGGGCAGAGCCAGGCGCTCCTGCCGGGCGCTGGCGGCTGCGGCAGCCCCGGAGCCCCATCCTGTTGTTTGTCACAAACATCCTTGGGATTCGGAAGAGGAACTTGGCAGTGGA